TACATAAAGAGATAAATCGAATTCAGCTTCAGTCCAGGCATGCTCTATACGTGCACCATTTGTGCAGCATGAGGGCATGCCAGCAGTATCTATCAAAATCTCCTTCTTGTAGGCTAAGGAATGTTTTCGGCACGTCAGCAATGCGGTTGCAGCTATTTCATGCCCGATTTCGACCTCGATGCAGTCAGTATCTATCAAAACTCAAAACAATAAAGCTGTAAAGCTTTTCCTTATCGTTCCAACGCATCTTGAATCATCTCAATCAGAGTTTGGATGAAAGAGTTACGCGGTGCCGAAACTGTCCATAATTACCCGATTAACCTTATTTTTCACTTAACGCCTCTATTTGTGCCCTAAATCAAAATATAAGAATAATGAGTGCATTTAGGCACTAAATAAGTATAAAAGACTAAATATTAAGGGAGAAAAATATGATATTTTTCATTCTCATCAAATCCCCTCACACTTAGCTTTTTCTCGTCCTCGGGCAAAACTCAAATTCACTTTCCCAAAAATACCTTACAACGCCATCAACAAAGAACAACCAGGTTCTTCAAAGCTCATAACACATCATGAACAAACATTCTTAACAACTTTCAATTACTTAGTAAGCGCTTTCACTCGAAGATAGAATAAACTAAATAGTAGACCCTTACGGAAATAAACACTCAACTTTCATGTTTGAAGGGTATGTGTTTCGCTCAAATTCATTCAATGGAAATGATCTACCATAGGCTTGCATATCTTCTCATTCTCCACCACTGGGATCACATGCATAACACAAATCAAAAGGAATTCTCAAGGGTTGTAATGTGGCTTAGGATCAAGGTGGGAAATATTTGGTAATGTAGCTCAAAAGCCATCGAATCTAGTAAAGCAAAACTGAATCATCTGAAACTCGAATGCATAAGACATGTAAAACCAATCATTCCATTCAGTAACTTCTTCAATTTTGCTTTAATGCATTTAAAGCATGTAAAACTCCTGTATTGAAAAAGAGATCATTCAAAAGAACACTTTTTGTTTGTATAAACATCCTTCACAACAGCTTCCACTTTTGTATGTATAAACATCCTTCTTTTTCTTGGAATTTTATGAGGGGCATGGATAGTTTGTAACATCAAAAGCAATTTCCTCCATTCCTTTCTTTCATCTTTAATTACTTTTTTTTTCTTTTTTTTTCAAAGCATATCAATCATTGGAACTCACGAATTGAGAATGAAAACATGTTTCATTTCACCATTCATAAGCATACCATGAATTCAAACACCCCCACATTTGAAACTTGCACATCCATGCATATCATAATGATGAGTAATGCTCCAGTCCAGGCACGTTCTATACGTGCACCGTTCGCGCAATGTAAGGGCATGCCACGCATCCTGAAAACGTGTACACGTTTTAAACATGCAAAGTGATTAAACGCTCCTCTCACTCCACACTAAACCTTTCCACTCTCCCTCTCTCCCTCTCCAACCAGGGGCGACTAACAGCCATCACCGGTGACCAGAGAAAACCCTGTCTCTGTAATGGCAAAAGGCTGAACTAAATTTGCAGAAGAGGTGGTGGCAAGAATGGCAAAATGCTGAACTAACAGCCACACCGAACTGAATCCGCTTATGGTAACCGACAGAGCTTCAACCAAATCCTGTAGCACTCCATCCCAGTCCATTACTGTTTTGCTCAATCTGAGCACCTTTTTTCTTCTCCACTCATCCAATCTACCATCAGCCACCATCTTTGAGCATATGGTATTTCTTCTCATGCCTCCCAGTTCTAGCGGCTTATCCACAGGACTGATACTTTCAGTATATCGTTCCATGTCTGGGTATTCCACTGGTTTTTCTCTGCAAACATTCTGACCTTCATTTGCCCAGAGCCTATATTCATAATCGTCCAAAGTCTCGCCCACCTTCATCCAGCTCTGTTTTCCTTTTCCAGCAGGAAAGCAAATGACCTGCTTTTTACCCAAACCAAAACACTCGATCAGTTGGATAAATTCACATTTAACATTTTTCTTCTTTTCTACCAGAAACCTCTTCTGCAAATTTAGTTCAGCTTTCCACCCTGTCTCTGTAATGGCCAAAAGGTTACCATGTATGAATTGAGCTATCCTGTCGTCTCCCTATTAGAACCACAACAGTCCTTTTGTTTTCTCTGATTTGAAAGTAGAACCTCCTCCTATTTCTTCGAACAGAAAGTTTTTCTTCTCCACACCCAGAGCCTTCTTCCACCTACTCGCCGGGACAAACTTCCCCTCCATCCCCTCCACCTATTAAGGTCATCTTTGAGAGGTGGATAATTGAACGCTTTGGTAAAAGAGGATAAAGTTTTTTGGGAGGCAATTCCTGTCGTGGTTGTTGGGTATGGTTGGAAAGGAATGCCATGGTGTTCAAGGATTCCCACCTTACCAAATTCAATGGAATCGAATAGAAAGGGGGGTTGATCACTGAAGACTGAGATCCAGAGGAACAACTAACAAGAAGAATAAGCGGATTCAGTTCGCTGTTAATAGTCGCCAAACAACGTCTTACTAATGCTTGCCTGAAGTTTTTCTTTGGTCACCGGTGATGGCTATTAGTCGCTGCTGGTTGGAGAGGGAGAGTGCAAGGTTTCAGTGTGGAGTAGGGGTGGCAACGACCGAGTTTTTCACGAGCTGCTCGAAATTGGCTCGTGAAAAGTTCAACTAAAGTCGATCTCAAGTCTAATTTATTGGCTTGATTATTAAACCAGCTGAATTCGAGCCTAATAGAATTCAGTTCATGAGACTCGCAAGCCGACTTGCATGTATATATAATTATTATAATAATAAAATTATAAAAAATAACATATATAATAAAAATATTTTTATATATAATTTTTTATTTTTATAAAACATTTTTTTCTCAAAATCGAATTCAAATTGAATCGATCTCGAATTTATGAATTTTTTATTTGAGCTGATAACATTCGGCTCGGCTCGATTCGAATCCCCTTGTAGAGTGAGAGTGAGAGGAGTCTGGCGAGAAAGGAACAGGAATGAAGAGCGTTTAATCACTTTGCACGTTTAAAGCGTGTACACGTTCCTAGGATACATGGCGCGCCCTCACGCTGCGCGTATAGAGCGTGCCTGGACTGAAGCCGAACTCGCTAAATCAAGGATTTGGGGGGAATTATTGGAATTGGGTCAAGTCATTGGTTATAGAGGAAGGCTTCTGGGTTCTAAACTAGAATGTCAAAAGGCTCAACTTCTGCTTCTATTGAGACAAAAGAGCCCCATTTGAACAAAAAATCTCATTATACGGGTTGATGAATTTTCCGCTTCACCTCTCTTCTTTGTTTTTCTCTCTGTACTCATAATATTTCCTTTTCTGTGATCAATATTTTTTGTTTCTTTTTTTTATTATATAATTACATTTGCAAGTGGGACGTCATCTAAATTTCTCGATGAAAAAAGAGACAAAAAAAGTGATCAGTTTGCACAGTTTTATGACGAAATCAAAGATAGGATATGGGAATTAAGTACATGATATTGTGATGAATCTGTTGCTTGCTTTTTGATCTAAGATTTGAGAATTAGCAAAATGAGGATTTTTAGTCTTTTTTCTAAAATTGAAATTTTATGATCACAGTCTAATTGCCTTTATAAAGTTAGCTCGATTTTTGGGAAATGGATGGATTAGTAGATAAATGCATATGATTCAATAGAGGGATTTGGTGCAAACCCAAACTATTTAGGACTTTTTTTTTTCTTGTAGAGATGCTAGATAGAACTGTAGCCAGGAAATTTGTTGGTTACCAATGATTTGTTTTGGTGGTTTTTCATTGTGTTTTCCACGTGGTTAGAGGTGATTTTTGGTTTCCTGGTTTGCCTATTAATCATGAAAATAATTTAATTATTTATATTTTATTAATTTTATCCTTTCAATTTGATTGTTATTATTTTATTAATTTCATCCTTTCAATTCGAGCCTGATATATAGGCTCGTTTGCTAATCGGCCGAGCTTGAGTCCAATGAAACTCGGCTTGTGAGGTTCGCAAGCCTAATATAATAAATAAATAATTTTTTATTATACACATATATACATGCATGTATATATACATACGCATATACATATACATATAAATATATAAATATATAAAATAAATAAATTTTATTATATATAATAATATTTTTATTTCTTATGTATAATAGTAAACAATTTTTATAATTCTTATTTTTTGTATGTAAAATAAAAATAATGTTTATATGTGTATTATTTATTATATATAATAAATAATTTTTATAATTCTTATTTTGTTGTATGTAAAATAAGAAATTATTTTTATATATAATTTTTATTTTTTAGAAAAAACTTGACTTGTAGTTGAGCTCGAGCTTTGAAATGAATCGAGCTCGAGCTCAAGTCTCTAGCTTGAATCAAGCTCAAGCCTAAGACAATTTTACATGACCAAACTACCCAAAATGGCCAATTAACTTTATTAAATATTTTTATGACAAAATATGAATTCTTTTTTTTTTGAGAGAAAACAACAAAGAAAAGTAAATTTGTTTAATGTGAGAACTGACCCCCGTTTAATGTAAATATAATATGACCCGTAGGCCTAACGGTCACGATGAGGGATGGAATAATTTTTTCTTAAAATTGTTTTTATTTATTCTTATAACAATTGTTTTCGTAGTTCAGTTGGTTAAACTTCAAAATACTTATTTTGTAAATGGGAGGTTTTGAATTCGAATCTAGTGAAAACAATTATTTTATGTGTTTTTTGTTGAATTGTTTAATTTTATTGCTCATTCAAGTAAGCAATTAAATACAAAACTATTTTTCAGTGAAAAACATGGCTGGCTTATTCCATTGCCGGGATTTGAACCCGTATCGCCTGGGTAAATGCCAGGTATCCTAACCGGATTAGACAGCAATGGATTATTAAAATTATTGTTTTAGAAAATCTTAAAATCGTCAATTACTATTCCGCAATCCCCCTCCCACCTCCCTGGATTCACGATAAGACTGTAAAAGAGATAAGGCGTCAAGGCCGGTATGCCGAATTGTGTCATAGTGTCATCTCCATTGTTCACTCTCTTTTTCAGTCGTCGCTTCGGAAGAATTACAAATACTCCCTCCCTCTACAGCTCTACTCACTTTGTGGTGATACCGACGGCCGGGTGGATGAAACCGTCACCACCTGTTCCCGCTCCCCTTACTTCTGTTCTTTTTTTATAAAAAGTTGCAATGGCGACACGTGTCTATCTACTCTCTACCTCCCCTTGGACTTCCTCCAGACCTCTCGAAAATTCCATTACCAATCACAATAAGATTCGCTTATTGTCTACATCCACATTTCTCCCCAAAATAGAGAAGAAGAGTTTCAGAAGACTTGGAGTCGTTGGTGCGGCCATGACGGATTTGCCTCGACCTACCGTCCTCGTCACTGGAGCCGGTGGCAGAACTGGTTTGCCTCGACCTACCGTCCTCTGCTTACAGTCTTTCTCGGAATTACTTCGTGACTTATTCGATTCTTTCAGTAATTTATCCGTTTCTAAGCTTTAGACTCTATATCTAGAATATCAGAACTTTCTTTCTATTAATGGGCAGTCATACTGTTTTATACCTCAGGACGCCTTGTAAAACTAAACTTTTTCACAAAATTTCATTTCTTTGATTCATAGCAAGAAATTTTGTTAGAGACAGAGATAGAGATGCAAAACTAAAATGACAACTCACGCTTCTTCCACAAAATATCTACCTTGTTATTTTACTGGATTTTGTCCCGGCGGTACTAATTAAAATTTGAGGTTATATTATGACATACTAATTATGACCTTTGTGTGCGCCTGTTTCTTGGGGTAGTATGTATCCTTATAAGAAATCAAAATGACAGGATGCCACTCACTTTTCCATTTTTTTCTTATCTATGAAAAAGAATAAGTTGTAATTTTAATGTGTTGTTTCTTCATGGGTTTTTATAGGTCAAATTGTATATCGAAAATTGAAGGAGAGAACTGACCAATATGTTGCAAGAGGCCTGGTTAGAACGGAAGAGAGCAAAGAGAAAATTGGAGGAGCAGATGATGTTTTTGTAGGGGATATACGGGATGCTGAAAGCATCATTCCTGCAATCCAAGGGATCGATGCTCTCATTATTCTAACTAGTGCTGTGCCAAAGATGAAGCCTGGGTTTGACCCAAGCAAAGGTGGGAGGCCCGAATTCTATTTTGAAGATGGAGCCTATCCTGAGCAGGTGATTACAGACCTTTATTTCTGGTGTCACATATTGTTACTCTACCTTGTTTTTATCCCATCAACTGATGAAAATTTTGGCATGTTAGGTCGACTGGATTGGGCAGAAGAATCAAATAGATGCAGGTAATTTTTCCCTTGTTTTGCCCAATGACTCTTTATTTGTTACTTATTTAATTACCATTATCATTATCTTCATTTGCTGACCTATATCCTAGTTATCTAAGCCTAGCTAGTCTTGTTATGCCATTTCACTCTTTCTAGTGCCTCTTTTTCTCATATGCCAGCCTTTGTATTTGATTATTGTCTAATGCGCGTGTTCCTGCTGTATACAGCCAAATCTGTAGGAGTAAAGCAGATTGTTTTGGTTGGATCTATGGGTGGAACAAATCCTAATCATCCCTTGAACAGCCTTGGGAATGGGAATATACTGGTAAGTGCTTTAGTTGTGAATGCTGAAACAAAACAATCTGCTTATGATGATGCTTTATCATTTATAGTGTAGGAAACTATACTGCTTCTAATGATGTTTTTATTTATATGCGGGAAATAAGACCACTTATAATGAAGCACTCTCATCTTTCCTTTTTCATGTCAGGCTTTCATCATAAATTAGATTTGGAATGTGAAGAGTGGAGAATCCTTGATACTCGTTCTAAATTAGTTTCTCATTCATTTTTTTAGGCAGTCAAACAAAATAACAAAGAAAACTTTAGAAAACATACATTTGTTTTTTCTGTTTATATTTCCCTGAAGGGCAAGTTCAGAAAATATTTCAAAGTTTAAAAGTTAACCATGATATGAATTTCCTCTTCAAGGTAGGATGCATATCAGCCTATCTTCGATGTTTCTTCTATTATGGTGCATGGGTTTTACTAATCATTTAATAATTTACACATTTTTGAAACAAATTTTCTACAGCCCTTGAATATGTATCAGTATTTGGATTTTGGAATCAACTTGATAGTTGATTATATTTCTTTGATTCTGGGCATGGTTGTCAAGGCATTGCCTTGGCAACAAGGCACCTTGGTTAGGTGCCTAGCCTAATGTCATGGCTTATATGGTAAAGGTGCCCGTCTAGTTGAAAAAACTTTCAAGGTGGGTGTTTTATGTAGTACTATTGCTATCGCTACATGTTATTATTGTGTGTTAATACATCCTATTCCTATCATATGTTGTCTATGTTATATATGCTTTGTTTAGAAATAAAAGGGCTTTGCCTCATTCTTTTCACCTTTTCATTACTTTTTTTTCTCTACTCTTTTTTTTTATTATATAAAACTATAGCCTTCACTAGTTGCTAATATTTTTTTCTTTGCATGTAGGTGTTCTATTAAATCCTTATTATGTTATAGTGTTGTGTTTGAAATATGAAAATTAATTGATTTAAAATGCTATCCTTTCAGATATGATAATTTACTGTATTTTCATAGGAAAACTAATGTTATTAATATAGAGTATTTCTATTATAATAACATATATTGTAGTTTTTTTTTTCTGTATAAAACTCTATTGCCTAGGCGACATCTAAATGCTCACCTAGGTGACTAGGCACTGCACTGTTGCCTAGACACCTTGACAACTATGGTTTTGGGTAGTAACTGTAAGTTTGTTTTATATTTAAATGGGTCTGACCATAGTAGAATATCCTCTGAGTTTCACTTAAGCTTTTGCTATTGTTGCTTTTGAATCTCTTAAGTTACACGTAGTTAAAGGGATAGTTTTTTTTGGGTCATTTTTCAGTCCTTAGTGGTAAGAGTATGGGATCTTTTAGTCTATAGGGCAATCCACCCCTTCTTACATTAGCATATACATGGTTGTAAAAATCAGATTTTTGGAGATTAATAAGTTGAATTAGATTGTTTGTTGCTGCAAAATTGAGGTGTGTGATGCAACTACATCCAAGAGTGATCCTAGAGCCTAGAAATGATTTCAAGGAACCCTAGTGTGATTGTAGGGCTTATTTCTTCTCGTTTTCTTATCTTTTTGAATTTTCCCCATTGGTTCTGTTTTTTTGAATGGTAGAAATGCGTTGCTGTGATGGATGAGTGGAAAAACTAGTAAAGATGGGTTCAGATATGGTCATTCAAAGGAACCTAGGAGAAGGCTAGAAAGGATGGGATAAAAAAATGAGAGAAAGTGGACTAAGATGGTTTGGTGACATGCATAGGAGGCTATCTACAGCACCTATAAACAAGGTCAAAATATCACACCATATTGGTGCATATCATACGATATATATTGATTTTCAGGGTCATTGATATGCCAAATCCAAATATTTGAGGGATTCCAATGGTTTTAAACATTAGTACCCCTCTTCATACAGCTGCCATCCAATTATTGTACTGAAAAAATAAAAAAAAAAAAGAAGAAAATATTCCCATGTTTTCGATGCTTGATAAAATCCAAGCCTATGCAGCACAATCAGGAACTTAGTAAGGGATTGTTAACTCTGACAAATCAGAAAAACACAACCAGCAGGGAGGAAGGAGAACAAAGAAGGTCCCTCTGACTACTTAAGCATTACAGACCCTTGAACGACTGACCAACAGCTCCCCTTAGGGGAAAAGGTTGCTGCACCTGAACCTGTCTTACAATCTCCCAGTCCTGAGACGACCTTGGATCCTCTGTTACCAGGTATGCTAGTCAATTTGTTTTGTGCTACTGATGGTTCTCTTGTGCCTGTTGCAGATGCATCTGCACCACTGCCATTCTCCCAGCCAACTGATGGTGCAGAATCCCGTGGAATCTGATCTGCTCTGAGCTCGAGGAACTTAAGAAGAAAGAGCTGGAATCAGATGAAAGGGATAAGTTGATAGACTTAGGCCAGGGGGAAGGAGTGACCTTGAGGGACAGGGAGAGTGGGAAAACAGGTAAAGCTGAGAATGGACAAAAGGATGGGAAGGAAAAGATAAAGGTATTCTGTAGGTAGAATGAAGAAAAGAAGAGATCAGAAGTGGAGGGTGACTTAGAGTTCAGTGGCAGGGGTGAAAGAAGGAAAACTCAAGTTTGAGGAACTTGAAGGAAACATGGGTGTTAGTCAAAGCAGAATTATGAAGTTAATTGGTTGGAATGTCAGAGGTCTGGGGAGTGCATGGAAAAGAAGAGTTATAAAAGACCTACTTCGAAGGGAGAATCCAGATATTGTCTTGATACAAGAAACAAAAATTGTAGAAGTGGATAGATTCTGGATCAGAAGTATCTAGGGTTCTAGAGGAATTAGGTGGTCTTGTAGTCCTTGTGGGGCCTCAGGGCGAATTGTGACCATGTGGAAGGATGAGGTGGTGGAGGCTGTAGAGGAAGTCATTGGTGGATTCTTGGTTTCATTGGAGTTTAAAAACACAAGAGATGGATTTACTTGGGTTCTCACCAATTTCTATGGTCCAAATAGATATCGAGAAAGGAATGAAATGTGGAAGGAGCTGTTTGATGTTAGGGGCTTATGGGAAGGACCATGGTGTGTGGTAGGGGATTTCAATGTGAAAAGGTTCTCAAATGAGTCTAGTAATTCAAACCACCAGGTGACCTATAGTATGAAGAAGTTCAATGATTTCATAGACTATTGTGAATTGAAGGAACTCCCTCTCTTACAAGCTAGGCTCACTTGGTCCAATCTACAAGGAGTTCCCCATTGCTCAAATTGGATAGGTTTCTGTTTAATGAAGAACGGGAAAACTATGAGGAGAACCTAATATCTAGAACCTTACCTAGAGTCACATCAGATCACTTCCCTATCAAGCTAGGCCTTGAAACCTTTTTAAGTGGCCCCACCCTATTTTGTTTTGAAAACATGTGGCTCACCCACCCGGGTAAGGAAAGTAGAAACATGGTGGAAGGAGGATTTGGGTGGTGGAAAGGTGTAAAGTTTCATAAGAAATTGAAGAGGTTGAAGGGAAAAATCAAAGAGTAGAATAGGGAATAGTTTGGAAGACTAGAGGAGAAAAAAGCTCAATCTAGTGTCCATCATAGAGGAATTAGATAAGAAGGAAGCACATGGGATTATTGTTGTTGAGGAGCGAGCCATGAGGTGCAAATTAAAGAGAGACTTAGAAGAAACCTTACTAAGGGAAGCGACCAGTTGGAGACAGAAATCTAGATGCAAGTGGTTAAAAGAAGGGGATGGTAATACAAAATATTTTCATGCTCTGGAAAATGGGAAAAAGAGGAGGAACTATGTGGCTAAATTGGAGATAGAAGGGTAGGAGATAACCAATTAGAGTGAGATTGCTAGGAGACTTGTAGACCACTTTAAATCCATCTATAGAAGACCTTTGATTGATAGAGTGGTTATGGAGGACCTTGATTGGACTTGCCTTGAATATGAAGAAGCTTGTTGGATGGAAAGGGTTTTTGAAGAAGAGGAGATAAGAAAGGCAGTTTTTTTAATGAACGGATCTAAAGCCCCTGGGGCCAAATGGTTTCACTATGGCCTTCTATCAAGATTGTTGGGAAATTGTGAAACATGATTTAGTTGAGATATTCATCGAGTTTGTGGAAAAAGGGTTTCATTAGTCCAGGGATAAATGCTACCTTTTTAGATCTTGTCCCAAAAAAGTTGATGCTTGCCACCCTATGGACTTTAGACCGATTAGGTTAGTGACCAACTTGTACAAGATTATTGCTAAGGTCCTTTCCACAAGGCTAAAAACAGTTCTTTTTACATTAACCAATCAACAACAAGGGGCTTTTGATTTATCAAAAAAAAAAAAAAAAACAAGAGGCTTTTGTAAAAGGGAGACAAATAGCTGACCAAATCCTCATCATTGCAAATGAGTGTGTGGAAGAAATGAAAGGATCTAGGAAAAAAGGCTTTGTAAGTAAGCTGGACCTTGAGAAAGCTTATGATCTGGTGGATTAGGTGTCTTAATTGAGGTAATGAAATCGTGTGGATTTGGGGAGAGATGGTGTAATTGGATCTTTGGATGTTTTAAGACTTGTCATTACTCGATTCTGGTCAATGGGATTGTGAGAGACTTCTTTCTAGCTCATAAAGGGTTGAGGCAGGGAAACCCCCTTTCACCTTTCCTCTTTACCCTAGTTGTGGATGTCTTGAGTAGAATGATTCATAAGACTAAAAAGGAGAATAAAATTAGTGGTTGGAAGGTTGGAAGGGATAGGTTATTGATTACTCACTTACAGTTTGCAGATGATATTATAATCTTTTGTGAAGGGGGGGATCAACTTTTGGTGAGGAATTTGAAAGACTCGGTGAGGGATTTTGAACTTATCTCCAATCTTAAAATTAATCTTGAGAAGAGTTGTATTGTAGGACTTAATATTGGAAGGAGGAGACCTTATAGCTGTTGCAAATGTCCTAGATTGCTCCATCTCAAGGTGGCCTTTGACCTATTTAGGGCTTCCCCTAGGTGCAAATCCTAGAGAAAGTAGGTTTTGGAGTCCAATCTTTGAGAGGTGTATAAAGAGACTAGCAACCTGGAAAAGGAATTACATCTCACTTGAGGGTAGGATTACTTTGGTTTAGTTTTCTCTGGCCAATCTGCTAATATACTATCTGTCGGTCTTTAGGATCCCTAAAAAGGAAATAAATAAGATAGAAAAACTAATGAGGGATTTTTTGTGGGAACTAGGAGAAGATAAAAAAGACCACTTAGTTAATTGGGAGACTGTGAGTAGAAGTCTAGAGGCAGGAGGAATGGGAATTGGGAATGTGGATAAAAAGAATTTGGCATTGTTAGGGAAATGGTTATGGAGATGGCGACAGGAATAGGACAGACTCTGGCACAAGGTGGTAGCCAATATTCATGGTAGGTTGGGGAATGGCTGGGATGCAAGTGTTTCCAACCGGGCTACATTAGCGTCTCTGGGGAAGGCAATTCATGGCATTTTGCCCACTCTTCTCTAGTTTGTAAGGTATGATGCTTGTTCAGGGGATACTATTAAATTTTGGGAGGATATTTGGATTGGGTCTCATCCTCCAAAGGATCTCTTCCCATCCCTATACTCAGTTTCTTTGTACAAAAACGAATGTATCTCTAATTTCATTGTTCCCCCTGTTCACCTAGTGGATCATAACTGGGATTTTGATTTTCATAGAGGACTAAGGGGTGATGAAATGGGGGCTTGTCTAGATTTGCTTCAAATACTTCAACGTGTGTGTTTTGATCCTGATAAGTCAGACAAGCGTGTTTGGGCCCCTCACCCTAAGGGTCTGTTTTCTTGTGCTTCCTTTTTCAAGTCTCTCTGTTATTCTTTGCCCTCTCCTTTGGTTCCCTTGAGAGAGTTCTGGTGCAAACCCATTCCCCCTAAAATAAGAGCTTTTTGTTGGGAAGTAATTCATGGGAAATTTAATACTTTGGAAATGCTATAGAAGAGGAGACCCAATTTATGTCTCTCTCCAAACTGGTGTGCTTTGTGCAAATCTGATAGTGAGAGTTGCTATCACCTACTGATTTCTTGCTCTTTTGTTGCAGATGTATGGAATTGGTTTTTTTTCTTTATTTGGGTGTAGGTGGTCCTTACCAGCGGAGGTTAACTTGCTGTTTGATCCTTCTATGTTTACTTGGTCAAAAAAGAGGGGAAGAATAATGTGGAGGTGTGTTAGAGCAGCCATGGTTTGGACCATTTGGGAAGAGAGGAATGCGAGAGTCTTCTCTGATAAGGAAATAAGCAAGGAATAGATAAAGGATTGTGTGATGGTTAGAGTGATCCATTGGATCAAATCTTTGGACCTGTTTTCTCAAATTTCTCCTGACGACTTACGGAGGAACTGGGAGGGTGTTGCAAGAAGCTCTTCTAGAAAGGAAAGAATAAATGTTGCATGGCATCCCCCACCTCAGGACTATGTAAAACTGAATTTTGATGGTCGTAGCAGGGGGAATCTAGGACCTGATTCTCTCAAGACAGAATTGCTTGCAGCCTTACAAGGAGCACAAATTGCAAATGAGCTGAACATAACCAATTTGGTGATTGAAGGGGACTCAAAATTGGTGGTGGGTTGGTTAAAGGATCCAGAATTTGTGATATGATGCTATAGGGATGAATAAAAAGCTTTTTATGGATCACCAAGAATATGAATTTGAGGATACAATGGGTAAGGAGATAGGCAAACGGATTAGCTGATACTCTAGCCAAGCAAGGGGTGAATAGACAATCTCTGTTTTGGGCTCACTTGTAATTTTTCTGTTTTGTTTATAGAGAGGTAGTATTTCGTGCCTCTTTGAGGGATGCTTGTAATGATTATAGTTTCAGAATTAATAAAATCTAACTTCACTTTCAAAAAAAAAGAGTATTGATCATATCCATACTTCTAACCATGCTTGTAAGAAGGAGCAATCTGTTGCAAGTTGAAGGGGCTAGAAGGGCTAGGGAGACAAAAAAGGACATGGGTTGAAGTAATAAGAAGTGATTTAAGAGATCATAATTTTTTTTTTCGAAGAAAGTAAGGTAATTTATTAGAGACTTAAGCAAGATGCAACAAGCCCCCAAGACACAAGCTCCCAGTCAGGCAAGAGACCAAAGAACAACAGGATTACAACTCCCACAAGTTCCTAGCACTCAACAGGGACCCCAGGGTGTTAGGCTGAAAGTCTTTATCAGCTGCAACCCAAGACACCAGCTTTCCAAATGAAAAGGACACCAACTCCTCCACCCCTTTGACTCATTTTGAAACACCCTTCTATTTCTTTAAGAGCTCATAATTTAACAATGGATATGGCACTAAATGGAACAGAATGGCGAAACAGGATTCTTGTAGCTGACCCCATAAAGTAGGGATAAGGCTTACATGATAATGATGATTAGTGCTGTTAGGACTTAGGATTTAGAAATGAAATTGATCTGCACAAAGGGATTGATTACTCTTTTCAATCAAGTATTAGAGTTCTAATTATCTTTACTTTTTCAAACTCATAGTATCTTCTTTCTCTCTAAATTAGGGTTTTAGCCATAAACAAACTAGAAACTGTAATTGAACATATTTCATTCCTAATTAAACCTTTTCAACATTTAATTATCATATCAAATCATCCTATTTATTTACTTTCATTAGTTCGTTATCTTTATTAGTCTCCATATCATCACCCTTCATGGCTCATTTAGAGTGGATTTTGCTTACTTTGTACATGAATACAGCACCCATGTAATATATTCCCTCCAGCTACCCTGCATTATGGCACTAACGGGGTGGAGTTCTTTCTTGAAGAATAGTGTGACTTATGAGGTGGGACCAATAGGCCATATTAGATCTTTTGAGAGAAAAAAACACAAGCCAGGCGAGTATATGATGATTTTGCCTCAGGGGTTGAAGGGAAAAGGCTTTCAATGGAAGTGGGAGAAACCTGTTTAAAAAAGAACAATGTTTAACCTTAGATTTGAATACTTCTATATTAATGCCAGTGCCTTCTTGTCCTTTAAATTTATGCTGCTTTCTAGCTGCTAGTCAGATTTTGCATTTGAAGTGAACCAACTGAAAGATGGAGTTTCTTAAACAAATCTAGATTTTACTCTTGTGATGACTTAACCTTGATGGATGAGAAAATAAACATCAAGTCTTGAAATAGTCTGGTGCTAGTACTGATAAAAAAAAAAAAGAAAAAAAAATTTCTGGTTCTAGTCTAATAGTTTGAGATGTTTTGTCCTTAAGTTCCTTGTGTTTCAACAATTTGGGCAAGGACTAGTCATTTCTTTCAACTATATTACTGTTTCTGGCTTCCTGGTTGGTTTTTAAAGTTTCTGTATCTTCTACAAATGCTTCAATTGAGATTTTAAATAGCAAATGAATGATATTTTGTTTAAACCTTATCATATTGTAGATATGGAAGAGAAAGGCCGAGCAATATCTGGCTGATTCTGGAATACCATACACAATAGTCAGGTATCTTTATTTTAACCCATACCTGCACAGTAATTGGTTGATATTGCACATTATATCCTTGAGTTACCTATACTGTCAAAAAAGAAGGTTACTTGTTCTGCAAGTAGAGCTCTTAATTGGTCGGATCTGGTTCAGGGCAGGGTGGATCAGTCCCGATCCGACTATTAATTGGTCCTATGAGACACCCAGTACCGAAACACTTATTAATTGGGATAATCAGGACCGACCCAATTAAAACCAATTATACTTGACATCTATAATTACTTGTGATAATAACTTCTAACTTCACTTTTGATAATATAACCTTGATAAAAATGACATTAAAATAATAAAACTGTTTATATGTTGATAAAACAAGTGTTTTTAACAAAAATATATCTTATATAGTGTATGAAATTTACCCTTTTAGACATAAAATGTAACAAAAATTACAAGAAAACCAGGTGATCTCTATATACTATTAACTATATAATCAGTTTGGAACAACAAGAATTGTCCCGACCCAATTATTAATCAGGACAAAACTAGAGAACTAGAACCAATATAATTGGTTTGATTGGTTCAGTTGTCAGGTAGGCCCAACCCATTGACAGATCTAACTGCAAGAAATAAATCAGTTAGCATCCAATTATGGATGTAGAATGATATAATTAGTAGATATACAGGGTTTTTAATCTCATAGGTATTTCTACAGTTGGAGCAATGTCCTCCACTTGAGTGAAGAAAATACTTAAATGTTGGTTGATTGCCCCAATAGCTTTCACCAAGGAGATTAATCAGATTATACCAGCGCAATTCTGCACTTAATACTTGCTACTATATGAGAGCACAACTTTCTAATGCACTAATCAGAGATCTCTATCAGAATTATTTATGGTTAAGACTGTAACATGCCTCAGGGATCCTTGGCAAAGAATTATCTCTTGCTGCAGAATTAACAATACGAGTATGAAATAAAACATGGTCAGTTGAAAAAATCAAACACTTAATTGATTACTCATGCAACCTTTTTTGGTAGTAAGTTGATTCAGTGAGTGTTGTAAAACTTGCATTCTATTTCCAGTTCCCATTTCGAGCACTTTATTCCCACTTGGTATTTACTAAGACTTAAACAGGGCTGGGGGTTTACAAGATAAAGATGGGGGTATTCGGGAGTTACTTGTTGGGAAAGATGATGAGCTTCTTCAGACTGAAACTAGAACCATTGCCAGGGCAGATGTAGCTGAAGTCTGCATTCAGGTATACAGACAACTATCTATATGCTCTCTTGTTATTCATGTAAAGATGTAGTGGTAATGTATGCAATCATCAAAACATGTAATTCATCTTTCCTACCAATTTGATTGTTATGGACGCCTTTATTAGGAAGCAGTATCGCCACCGACAACAGCAGTAAAGGGTGTTCTCATCTTATCTAATTCAGTTCTCATCTTATCTCAGTGTTCTCATCTTATCTAATTCAGTGTCTATCTTATCTGTTTTCAGTAGTATAGATCAGTAGGGAGTCTATGGATTAGTAGGGAGTCTTATCTGTTATGTGTTCTTATCTAAATTCAGTAGTATAGATCAGTAGGAGTCCTCCAAAAAGTAGGATTCTTATCTTCTTGTAATCTCCTATTTAAAGGAGCTAATGATATTCAATAAAGCATCGAATTTCTCAGTCAAGACAGAGTAAAGGAGAGTTGGTGATCTCTTGGACAATCACCATTAAGGCGCCAAGATAGGTACCTCAAGAAAAGGGAGGAACAAGGGGGAACAAGAGGTTCTCCCCGTTGACCGACCTGTGACGAGATCCTATTCGCGGGCCCTTAACATTGATTGCCCCACCTAATATGACTGGAAAGTCTTTTTCTTAATGGTCATTATGATAATAATTGTAACAAGTTTTTATATTTGTTATGATAATAATTGTCACAATATTGTAGTGAAAAAATTGTCACGATATTATTATTATTATTATATGTGACAGGCGTTGCAGTTTGAAGAATCCAAGTTCAAGGCATTTGATTTGGCCTCAAAGCCTGAGGGGACTGGTACTCCAACAAAAGATTTCAAGGCTCTCTTCTCTCAAATTTCTACTCGTTTCTGAGATATGGTGTCCTGATCATCAATTTGGAGCTTACACCAGTCATTGGCAGCAACATTTGAAATTGCTGTATTTGCAGGTTTCTAGTCATGATTCCGCCTTTAAAATTTTGTAACTTTAGATGGTCCTAAGTGTTTAGAGATCAACCTCATACATTAAAGCATGAAGTAGTGAATAAAACCAGGATATTTTATTTACTCTGAGTTTTTTTCTGCTATACGAAATGAAGACTGCGTGTTTGTTTCCCTGTTGTGGGGGTGGCTAGTTCACTTGGGAGTTGGTACAAGGCTTGGATGATGATGATGATCAAGGTTTTTAAAACTGAACCGGACAACGAACTGGTTAGGAGTCCGGTTTCTGGGTCAAATGGTCTGGCCATTTGAACCGAACTGATGGCCCGTTTTGACAAAAAAAAACTGGCCAAACTGTTGAACAGTTCGACTGTTCGGGTCAGCGGTTTGTTGACCAAATCAACAGTTTTTGTGGAAATAATGGTTCTGGGGTAAAAAGGAATTGTTCACCTGACCGATTCTTGGCTTTTTCGGTTCGACCGTCTAGTCTGGTCCGGTTTTGAAAACCATGATGATGATGATCCTTTGGTCAAAATCTATATTTGTTCCATGAATGCATGGGTGTGGCGACCCTCCCCCTCCCCCTGCTTTATATTTGTTCCATGAATGCATGGGTGTGGCGACCCTCCCCCTCCCCTGCTTTGATTTTCCCTTCATTCTTACCAACAGGACATCTTGCAAATCAACCGGTTGCCATTTTGCAAAAGCTAACCTAATTTTATGTTTTTTTGGTAATACAAATAATAAAACAATATAGCAGACTACTTATCTTTCTTCATTTAGTAATGTCTCCAACCAAGGAGGTCCAAGGGCTGCACAACCATGCCAACCATTTGAACGGGAACAAAATTTTGCCTCTTTATGGGCTACTCGATTAGCAGTCTTGCTAATCCAACAGAAGGTAATATGCTGGAACCTTTGAATCAAAACTCTTATGTCATGAATTATAGGCCAAACTTCACTAGATTCTATCTCTGAATTAAGCATGGTTTTCAAAACCGGATTGGACTGGATGGTTGGATCGGAAAAACCGAGAACCGGTCAGGTGACCGGTTCTATTTTACCCCAGAACCGTTATTTTCCCAAAAATTGTTGATTTGGTCAGCAAATTGCTGACTTAGGTGGTCAAATCATTTGAACTGTTCAATGGTTTGGCCAGTTTTTTATTTTTATTTTTTTTATTTTTTATCAGAATGGACCATCCGTTCGGTTTGAACAATCAAACCGTTCGACCTGGAAACCGGACCTTTATTGTCCAATTCGATTTTAAAAACCTTGGAATCAAGAGAAATTGCTGCAATCAGATCTTTTGAGTAGCAACTAGGAACCGAGCACCACAGCTGAGCACCTCCGCCAGACCTCTTCTCATTGCCATTGCTTCAAGATTTAAAATAGAAGGTTGTACCATTCTTCCACCAGCTGCTACCATATTCCATTTGATGTTCTCAAAACAAAACCCAACGCAGCTGTGGTGGGCCCTGCAAGATGCATCTGTGTTTAGCTTAGGCGATGTTTGGTTTGAAGGAAAAGATAGGGAAACTTGGAAAGGAAGGAAAAGACAGGAAAACCTATACAAGATTTGTAAAAGTTTTCTTACTTTTTCCTTCCCTTCCCTATCTTTTCCTTCAAACCAAACATAGCCTTAAAGAAACCCGATGGAGGCTTAGTCCAGTTCTGATGTTTGAAGGGAAACCTTGTTTAGTTACACGAGAGGGAGGGTAATACATCTCCGAGAATCACAAAAACAAATAAAAAGCAAACAACCATGATAATCCAAAAACACTCACCCATTGAAAGCTACATGTGTCAACTAGACAGTCTAGACAGCTACTTGATTTTCTTGACAAAAAACCATGGTTTTTAAAACCGAACCGGTCAGGGGTTCGGTTATCGGGTTGAACGGTCCAACCATTCGAACCGAACAATCGATCCGTTCTGACAAAAAAATTAAAAAATAATAAATAATAAAAAACGGTCAAAACTGTTTAAACGGTTCAAACAGTTAATTGCCTGATTCAACAGTTTGCTGACCAAAATCAACGTTTTTTTTTAGAAAATCCAGTTTGGGGGAAAACAGAACCGATTATCCAGCCGATTCCCGGTTTTTCTGGTTCGATCGTCCGGTCCGGTCCAGTTTTGAAAACCATGCAAAAAACATGGAGATAGTTGATACCATGATTCAAGAGAAAGCTTAGGCGATGACATTCATAAATGATCAATCACATTCTTCAATCTCGAAAGAGGATTCATCATAGCACTACTCATAAACAGGCAATTTTTTCAAATAAATACTGTTATTTAAGAAAAATTGGAGATTCGAGTCCCCACGGGAAACCCATCCCCATAGGGGATCGGGGATGGAGGACAAATTTTATCCCCGACAGGGATCAGAGACGGGGATGGGGTTAATTTCATAATCGGGGTCGAACCCATCCCGTTGCCATTCCTAGAGGTGGGATCTACTTCTCACATAGGGTGCCTTACAACGACCTCATAGACACATCTCACCGTGCATTGGGAATATCTCCAGTAAATAATAACACATAAGTACGAGAGATATTCCCAATGCAGAGTGGAATGTGCCTGTGAAGTCGGTGTGAGGCACCATGTATGAAGAGCAGATCTGATCTCTGTAGAATGGCCAATTACGGAGGGGAATTGTCATAGGTTCACTTAATGTTTTAAAAATCAATCTGGAGGTTAGAACCGTTTTTGTCTTTTAGTCATGAATCAGCGGTTCAACCATTTGGTTGGATGGATTGAAGCCAAGAGAGCTTTCTTTTTGGAAAAAAAAAATGGTGGGGCAGGGCACCGAATGAAATGCATAAATCTTGAAAAATTACTCAGAATAAAAGAAATCACCCCAATTTGACAACCACGAGTACAAAACTAAGGCCTTTAGAAGTTTCAATATATTGTAATGTATAATCCATGACTCATTGTTTGGATCAAATACGTCAACAATTCAACCATCCAAGTCACTGGGTCTTTGAGCAAGTCAGCGGCTTTTGATGAATTAGTGGGTTTTAGCCTTTTAGGAAAATCAAAGCGTAAAAGGGGTCAAGTGATGGTTCAAACGATTAAATCATTTAAATCACAAATGGGTTGAAAATTTTGTCTTTCATTACTTGTTTGGTAAAGAGTGTAAATGCTGAAGCAAAGTAAATTAGCGCTTCGGTTTAATTTTGTATACATTTGTAAGAATACATTTTTATATTAAAAACAATAGAAAATTTCTCTTTTCTCACATATTTGCATTCAAAATGCGAGCAAAGTTTATTTCTGAAAAATGAAATCACACTTTTAACACTATGTAAAATGTAAAACAGATAGATTCCAATTTTGAAATTCATGTTTATACTTATTAAAACCAAATAAGTTTTGTAAGAATATCAGAGTTTGACCATGATACCGAAAAAAAATACAAAAACGAAAAACGAAGAAAAAAAACTTATAATCAATCAACCGCTATCATGAAAACTGGCAACCAATTAAGTAGTGTTTATCAAAATTCAGGAGTTGATTGATCAAAGCCCTTCCACTATCATGTCTTTTCAGCAGAATAGATTTTTCTCAGATATAAAATTTTATCAATATAAAACTAAATCAAAATTTCATTTTCATGAACTTCACATATTTGCATAATGCATTATATTTGCATTTTTTTTATTTTCTTTTAGAATGGCTACACAATAGGGATAGCCCATCCCCGTACCCAGGTGCAGGCAGGATTCGATCCCAAGTCTCCACTATGACCAGCAGGAGACCTTACCAACCAACTGGTTGACACCTTGCATGACATTTGCATTCTTCAACATGAATTACCTTCATCCATTCTTTTAGACTATGTTTGGTTTGAAGGAAAAAATAGGGAAAGGAAGGGAAAAGTAAGGAAACCTTGTATAGGTTTCCCTGTTCCCTTCCTTTCCCTACCTTTTCCTTCAAACCAAACATAGCCTTAACGGTAATGGTCGTAGTGCAGTGAGAATTATTCAATGCCAGTCCTCTACACATAACGCTATCCCCAACTAATGCATCAGCTTCTTACTCTCTTTTATCTCTCTAGTGTTCTTCAATGTGATTTTTTTTTATGTTCCAAAAGCAAATTAAAACCAACTGGTTTAAAGACAAATTGATTCCAAAAACATTAAAAAAAAAAAAAACATTTTTAGTTGCATATGTATTTTTTTTAAAAGGTTCTTGAGCTTTTGAGTTTTTTTTTTTTTGGGTAAACATGTCTTTGCCTAATGATCTCTCATCATCTTACATAAATAATAAATCTTGCAATATTTGTACTCCAAAAATTTGTTGTTCTATCTCAGAAACATGATTCTTTTTTCTTTTGAAACAAAACCAACTTGCTTCTGCTTCTCAAAATAAAAACACAGTTCAAGAACCTTTTTTTTTTAGTTTTTGCAAATGTGGTAATTTCAAAAACAAAAACATTGATGCTATAAAACAGCCCCCCCCCCTGGCCGTTGGTACTACGCAAAATAAGACCTCATTGACTTAATAAAAAACACTTACCTCTACCTTAATTCCTTTTATCAAATAATAATAATAATAATAATAGTAATAGTAATACTACTACTAATAATAATAATAATAATATCTGGTTTCCTGTTCTGAATAAATAAATAATACATGAGCAAGGCTTTCCTCAAAAAAATATGCCCAACTTGGAGCGGAATTTCCTATTTGAAATTTTTTGCTATTTAACATTAAAACAAGGATGGGATTAAAAAATAAATAAATAAATAAGTTCATGTTAATGGTTCTTTAAACATTATTTGGTTTTTCAGTTCTCTTCTTACCTTATTCCTTTTGCTGCCCTGCTTATTTGGTTTTCCACTTGCTACGCAAATGGTGCAGGGCTTATTAATACTTTAATTTCTGGGTTGATATAATGTAAATAAGAATAAGAAAACCCCTCTTCAGTACTCAAATCCAATCTTATTTTCCAGGGTTATTATCTCAAACTCTCCCTCACTTTTCTTTCAATACCCCCGACGGCTCCCTTGTCATACATTTGAGGTTAGAAAAGGAACCTTCTCTCAAAATTATGATGATGATTGATGCCTCTCTGGCTCTCCATTCACGTATATCCTTTGAACCAAAATGCTGATAATACGCTTGCTTGCCAATTCACTGGACTTGAACCATTGGTAGGTGAATTGAACTGTTGGGGGGTTGTGGGAAGAGTTAAGATGGAATAAAATAATAGGAGAGAGAAATAAATTAAAGTTGATTTTGTCACCAACGTTGACTTGACAGAAGATATATATTGTTATGGATAAAAGTGTCTAATAGGTCTCTGGAGGCATCAAAAAGTAAGTGTAATCACAAGAGAATATTAGAAAAGTGAATGGGAGATTCAGATGATAACCCTATTTTTGATATGAGCAACCACCTAGGCACTTAGGACCTTTTCCTTTTGAAAAAGAAGTATGTTTTAATTTTCAGGTGTAATTCCATCGTTTAAAATGTTTAAAAAAAAAAAACGCAAAATCTCACCTTTCAAGTGTAATTCCAATATCGCAATGCATGGAATGGTTCAATTGAAATACACGAAGTAGTAGGATGTACAATGATCATGATGATTCAGCCTAAGCGACAAGGTTCAAAACTATGGCTTAAGTCTAAATAAACTTTTTTAGTAAGATGAGGCTCCTGCAAGAGCACATACAGGTAATGCCAGAACCAAAAAAAAAAAAAAAAAACAATGCTGGTTTTTACAAGCATTCAGACAATTCCCAGATGAAACACTCCTTCCAGACAGTTCAATGCTATATCATCCTTTAGGTATGTCATACACAGATTCTAAAGCTAAACAATGGTTTGTCAAAACAGAAAGTCTATATTTAAACAATTAAATCCATATTTTTAGTTTAGAACATCAAATCTGCATGAAGTCTTTTAAAAACCTCATGCAGCAAAAAATAACTGAACATTTTAAAATGACTAGTTAAAGAAACAAAATGAATTAACAAAAATTGCAAGATGCACTGAGATACCATGCTTACAATTTTAAACTATGGATTTAAATATAAAAGAACATGAAGGTACATAGAATAACAAAACACACAACAGAGAAAATATGCACCTAATAATTTTCAGTCCCTCTTGGTCTGAGCCTTTGGCGGTCTTAGAACACTCCAGTCCAGCTTTTCACGCTTCTGTTGCTTATAAGAGCCTTTGTTGTCACCTAGCGAACTTGCATTTCTTTGTGATTTATCGGGATATTGTGTTTCAGTCTCTACATCTAGCTGTTTTCTTTTATGGTCTCCATCAGAATCACTATCTGGTCTAGCTACACCATAGGACTCTGATCTGGTCACTGAAAATTCATTTTCTCTGTACAAGTTGAACAGAAGAACCATAAAAAAAAAAGCATGTCTGTAACTTATATGAATTCATGCTAGAAATTTCACCAAGAACCTTCTTTATACAGAAACACAACCACCTTAATACCCTCTAATGTTCAACTATTCTATGGGTGATTACTTCATTGATCTGATCTTCTACCAATGCATACAAAAAAATTACCAGTAAATGAACTGATATAGAGAATTTGAATACAAGGTTGAGTCACCAACCTGTAAGAAGTTCCTCCATTTTGATCACCAGAAATTGTGGTAGGTTGACAAAGACTTGCTGCTGCTTCATTTAATTTCTGCCAAGTACCAAGACAATGCTTCCACATGAGGAAGGTAAAAGTCCCAAAAGTAGGAGAGTGGTAAACAGATTATGAATGGTCTTTATACTCACATCAATAGAAGGATTAAAACTTTGAAATGACATCCGGCCTTTCAGCGCCCCTGGATGGGGATTTCCCTCCATTATGACTATGCTGTGAGAAAAGAAACAGCTAAATGAGTGAAAAAAAGTCCCCATGTACTTATCAAATTGTCACCATTTGATGTAAGCCAAATGATCACATTCTCGACCAATGCTAACAAAATTTTCAAAGCATGCTGAAATCAAGGACATGACATCTTGTACAGTAGCATTTGCTAGAAGGAATGAAAAGTCACTTAAATGTTAAGCTCACTTCCAGCACTCACCCCTAGCATAAGAGTGACCCTCTATGAGATGCTTATCTCTTTCTTTTTCTTTCTTACCCCCACCCCCACCCCAATTTTGTTAGCCAAAACATAGGCGGTTACAACAACTTTGTAAATAGGCCACGTGGCCTCTCACTTGTCCAAAATCAGTTAGCCTTGTATCTATATATATGCAGAAATAAAATATTTGCTTTGCGCGTGTCATTCATTCAAGATACCAGTTTACATGGTATCAGAGCCAGATCTTCCCTGATCTGCACTTTCGTCTACCTTCTGTCTCCCCTGTTTTCTTTCTTTCCTCTGTATCAGAACTCATCAATGGCATCGAAGCAAGAATCAAGCGTCCTGCGTCAAAATTTGTCCATGGAAGCCAGAACGGATCCAACAAGCTCACCGTTCTATCTCCATCCATCTGATAATCCAGGATGGATTCTTGTCTCTGATCTACTCACTGGTGATAATTTTCACACCTGGCAACGAGCAATGAAGACCAACTTCGAGCTAAGAACAAATACAAGTTCATCGATGGTTCATTGCCACGACCACTGTCATCCTCACCAGAAGAAGAGATTTGGGACAAATGTAACTCAATGGTCATTTCTTGGATCCTAAACCTAGTAGCAAAGGAAATCCACCACAGCATAGCCTTCATTGAATCTACAGTAGAAATCTGATGTGAGTTGCAAGAAAGGTTTGGCCAGAGTGATGTTCCATGCATTTATCAACTTGAGCGAGATCTTGCCTTGCTCCAGCAAGGAGATCTTTCTGTAGTTGCATACTTTACAAGGTTGAAAATTCTCTGGGACAAGCTAGCAACACTCACCGACCTACCTGAATGTACTTGTGGTCTAAACTGTGGCACTGTGAAATTCTTTCTGGCTAATCGGGAAAGGAGGAAGATTCATCAATTTCTCATGGGACTGAAAGATTCCTTCAACATGCTTCGCTCACAGATTCTTGGATCCGATCCATATACCACCTCTCAATCGAATCTATGCCTTAGTTATCCAGGAGGAGCGACACCAACTAACTATTTCCTTGAGAGGATCATCGGCTCTTGATGTTGCAGCTTTCCATGTTGCTTCCAAACCTCAAACTCGTACTTCTGGACGAAATAGACCTTACTGTGACCACTGTAAACGCCAATGACACACAAAGGACAAATGTTATGAGCTCAATGGATATCCTCCTGGTTGGAACCATCGACCTCCCGGAACTGACAAGAATGCTCGTCCTCTGCGAGATCGGGCCGGATCAGACAAAGCAACTTCATACACAGTGACCACTGCTCCTTCAACTTCTGGTCAAGAATCCCCTGTTATTGGATTGTCTCTGCAACAGTACAATCATTTGATTTCTCTCCTCAATAAAGATTCAACTGATATCTCAGCCAATCTTTCTAGCAAAACCATCCCTATCTCTTCTGTAGAATGGATACTCGATAGTGGTGCATCCGACCACATTGTCTCTGACATGTCTCTATTCTCGTATTACTTTCCTTTACCTACTCCAAAATATGTACACTTGCTCACTAGTGATACTACCTCTGTTACACACCATGGCACAATTTCCTTCACTTCTAGTCTTTCTCTTTGTGATGTATTGCACATTCCAGCTTTTACTTGCAATTTAATTTTAGTCAATAAATTGACTCAACAGTCATGCTGTGTTGTTTCTTTCTTCTCTACTCATTGCATCATACAGGACCCAATCTCGAAGATCACGATTGGAACGAGTGAACTTTGAGACGGTCTCTACTACATCCGTTTTTCTCCTCCCACCTCAGTTCATCTTACCAACTCAGCATCATCCTATGAATTGTGGCATAGGCGCCCCGGTCACGCTTCCAAGTCTCGTCTGTCTTTGCTACCTGAACTTTCTCCTTCACCCTCTGATGTATGTTGTGATGCCTGCCACCGTGCCAAGCAGACAAGAAGTCTGTTTCCGATTAGTCATATTCATACTACTTGTCCATTTCAGTTGAGACATTGTGATATATGGGGCGGTTATAAAACCCTATCTCACACTAATGCTCATTTCTTTCTCACTATAGTAGATGATTACACTAGATGTACTTGGACGTTTCTCATAAGGCATAAATCTGAAGTTTTTCATTACCTCACCTTTTTTTGTGCAATGGTAGAAACACAATTTAAATACTCAATTCAGCAAGTTCGATCTGACAATGGCCTAGAATTCATGTCTGGCCCCTTGCAAGATTTTTTTTCAGCAGAAAGGCATCATCCAACAGCTGTCTTGTGTTGGCACACCACAACAAAATGGTGTTGTCGAACGCAAACATCGACACCTATTAGAAGTTGCCCATACTCTTCGCTTTCAAGCATGCCTACCTATTAACTTTTGACTTATCTCATCAACATCACACCAACACCCTTGTTGGGAGGAAAATCTCCATATGAGAAGATTCATCTTCGACCCCCTAACTACAACTACCTCAGGGTGTTTAGATGCTTATGTTATGCTCAAATCAGACCGGTTCCCCATGACAAATTTGCTGCTCGTTCAACCCAATGTGTGTTCATTGGCTATCCACACGGTCAAAAAGGGTACAAGGTGTTCAACTTCGACACCAAACAGATATTCGCATCACGGGACGTAGTTTTTTATGAATCTGTTTCTCCATTTGTTGCTGCCCTGGCTATTGATTCAACTGAAACTGCTATAATTCCTATGCCTCAACCTAATGATGGATGTGATCTTCCTTCACATAGTGATGGACACCATGTGCATGAGAGAATTGTTGAACCCATTATAGACAACAACAGTCCCATCGCATGTCTAGACACAAATAATGGGCCTGATCACAATCATGCTACTGATGGCCCCATTAATTCTCGTCCCACTCGCACACGCCACCTCCCATCACATCTACAAGACTTTGTGTGTGACCTCCTACATCTCTCACAACCCACCATGCCCTACTCACCCCTACATCCCATCATCCCCCCGAACCTACAACGTATTCTCAAGTTGCCAAATGCCCTCATTGGCAGGCAGCCATGGTCGACGAGCTTGTAGCATTGGACCGTAACAACACCTGGACCCTAATAGATCTCCCTTCTGGAAAACGAGCCATAGGTTGCAAATGGGTCTATAAATTGAAGTTAAAGCCAGATGGGTCCATAGATCGCTACAAAGCACATCTTGCAGCAAAGGGCTACACTCAGGTTGAAGGATTGGATTATTATGATACCTTTGCTCCTATTGCAAAATTGGTGACTATGTGTTGTTTACTTGCGGTTGCCGCCGCAAAGTGTTGGGAATTGCACCAGTTGGATGTCAACAACACCGTTCTACATGGAGACCTCCATGAAGAAGTCTACATGACGCCCCCTCCCGGTCTTCTTACCTATAATGATCATTGTGTTTGCAAGTTAAATAAGTCACTCTATGGCCTTAAGCAGGCTTCACGGCAAGTGTTTGCAAAATTCACACAAGCTCTCCTCGACGTTGGTTTCCAACAGTCAGTGGCCAACTACTCCTTGTTCACATCACACCAGTCCAACTCATACATTGTTGTCCTTGCGTATGTGGATGACCTGATCATCACCGGGAATGATCCAGCTCGCATTGCTTCTCTTAAAAGCCACATAAACAGTTGCTTCAAGACAAAGGACCTTGGGCCCTTACATTATTTCTTGGGCATTGAAGTCTCCGGAACTACTGATGGAATTTTCCTCAATCAGCATAAGTATATCCTTGACATCATTACTGAAGCAGGCATGCTTGACTGTAAACCGAGCCCGACTCCTATGGAACAACAGAAGCATTTCCATGATGACACTAGTCCACCCATCACTGACCTTGCCCGGTTCAGGCACTTAGTGGGTCGATTGGTCTATCTTACAGTCACCCGGCCCGAGTTAAGCTTTGCAATCCACTCTCTTAGTCAGTTCATGAATGATCCCCGTCAGGAACACTTGGATGCTACCCTTCGTGTTGTTCGCTACCTCAAGGCCACCCCGGCACATGGACTATTTCTATCACCACACAATGACTTCCAGCTTCAAGGTTATTGTGGCTCTGATTGGGCTAGTTGTCCAATCACTCGGCGATCAACCACAGGATATATCACCTTTCTTGGAAACTCACCACTTTCTTGGAAGACCAAGAAACAACATACAGTTTCGCACTCCTCCGCAGAAGCCGAATATCGGGCAATGGCGGTTGCTACTTGCGAACTTTTGTGGCTTATGAGAATCCTTACTGATCTTACATTACCCTTCTAGCACCCATGAGCGTACGAAACACATTGACATTGATGTCACTTTGTACGTGAACATATCCAGAAGAAGGAAATTCAGACCTTCCACATTTTTGGCGCCCTTCAGCCAGCTGACCTTCTTACAAAAGCTCTCAGTGCAGACCGATTTCAACAGATATTATCCAAGTTGGGCATTGCTTCCCACGTCCAACTTGAGAGGGGGGTATTAGCCAAAACATAGGCGGTTACAACAACTTTGTAAGTAGGCCACGTGGCCTCCCACTTGTCCAAAATCAGTTAGCCTTGTATCTATATGTATGCAGAAATAAAATATTTTCTTTGTGCGTGTCATTCATTCAAGATACCAATTTACAAATTTTAAACAAGTCATTCTTCAGATTTCTGATCATTGCACACTCATCCAAAGTTAAAGTACAAAATATCTAACTACAACAATTATGTGTATTTCTCACCCATAAGGTAAATGTAAGAATTAATAATTAACAGCAACAATAAAAAAAATCTTTAAGGGGGTATTAATTATGCAATCCATAAATAAATATAGAAAGGTGAATAACAATTTATTGTTGAGGCGTAAGGGCACTGGAGCAGTGAGACAGATGGAGATGTATTTTGCATCAATTTGTCAGACTCAGACTGTTCACAAAACCGGAAAGGCTTATCATGTTTTTTAGTAAAAAAATGCGTATAAATATTTGGTCAATGTAGATATTAAAGAAACAAAAAAGAATATAAATGGTGTAATAGTTCAATGGTAACCTGCCATTTTTGTGAAGGAGAGGTTATAGGTTCAAATCCATAATCAATAAGAGTTATTGACTAAGATATTAAGAGAAATTAGAATACCTAATGAATGAAGTAACTACTACACAACAAATATTAGGAAATAAACATAAAGAGTTGTTTTTTCTTCTTCCCCTTTTCCTTTTTTTTTTGGCCGGGGGAGGGGATTTGGGGATTGAGGGAAACAACCCAGATAATCTCTTATAAGAAAAACCGAAGGCAACCCAATCAAAAAAAGAAAAAAAAAAAAAACTTGAAGGGAAAATACCATTTTCTGTTCTGTGTACCAGGCGAAACAAAGTGACCACTGGGTTTGACCTCTTCTTCCTTCTTAGATTTTTCCTCCTTCTGAGCTGCTCTTTGCATGAACTGGCATAACAAAGAATAGACCAATTGAGGTTCAAAGAAATATAAACCCAAATAAGTATTCAGATAAAGCCATGAAAGAAGGTACTCTCTGACGCCTTACCTTCAAGTTCTTCAATGTGCAAGAAAGCTCACGCTTAGCCATTCTAACTTAGCAGCTTTCTATCTCCCCCCGAAGATGATAACTAAAACCTCTCTCTCTCTACCCCCGCTATTGTGTTTCTGTATAGATAGACGGAGGGAAGAGGGCAAATATGTTTTGGGGGGTGTGAAGAGGAAAAAAGGGTTTTTGAAGACAATACCTTCTAGTCTTCTACCATTCGACACCAGATCTGCTGCTCACACGTGGCGCCTCACATCGACTTCACAGGCATATCCTATTGTGCATTGAAAACATTCACCGTACTTATACGTGTACGAGAGATGTTCTCAATGCACGGTGGGATGTGGGTATAAGATCGTTGTGAGACTGTATGAGGAGCAGATCTTACCTTCGGTTGAGACGGAGTCCGCGTTTTGTGAATCCGTGGATTTAAGGTCGTCCGAGCAAAAACCTGAGAAGGCCCATTAACAGAAAACAAAAAAGCTGATCAAAATTAGGGATGATAATTTTTTTGTAAAACTGGGGCCCCACCCCATTCCGAATAGAGTAGGTTTTCCCCGACCCTAAACAGGGATAGGGAAAATATTTTTTCTCCGAATTATGAACAGGGCAGGGATGAATGTTGTATATAATTCTCCGACTCGAATTCAAAAATAAAATTAATAAAATATTTCTAGATTTAATATTAATATTTAAAATATTTTTAAATTTTCTCTAAATTCTTAAAATTTTAAAATCTCGTAATTCCAGTTTTTAAATATTTCCAAAGCATTATAATTCAATTCCTAAAATATACCAAAATTCTTATATTATATATATAAATTATTCACAAAATAAATAATTTTTAACAAATTATCTTAAAGCGAGAAAAATTTGAGATTACCTGCCCCTGATGGGAGTGTATGCCCCGATCGCCACCAAGAATGGGGCAAGAACGGAACAAAATATCTTAACTTTGGGGCGGGGACGGGGAGGGGTGCCCCGCCCCAAACCCGCCCGGTTGCCATTCCTAATCAAAATCCCTCAGTTCGAACACTCCCTCCCCATTAACTGAAGTATCCGGTACAAAAAACAGCAGATCCCGTTCCGTGAGCACACCACATGCGTAGTCGAAGCCATGACGGCATGACTAGACTGATTGCCCCTTTGCTCACCTCGGCGAGAAGGCACGACACAGGGACCCCTGTCGTTTTCATTACTCCGGTAATGTCTGCACGGATTTCCGTCAAGGTGGGTGCCGTTGTGGCGATGCCTGTGACTTGTGAATTCGCTCATGGGGTCTTCGAGTGTTGGCTTCACCCGGCTAGGTACAGGACTAAAGCCTGTAAAGATGGTAAGAACTATAAAAGAAAGGTTTGTTTCTTCGCTCGTACATCTCGTCAGCTAAGTGTGTTGTCTCTTCATTCCGTCGAAACTCAGGCGTCCCCCTCTCCCACTGTTACCTCACCTCTGTGCCACGAAAAATACCCAATTTCCGTCTTATCTGATGCTAATTTTAACCACTATTGCGTTTTCTGTCACTCCGTTGCTTCATCCCCGATTCAGCCAACTTCGAGGAGCAGCAACAGTTTGTTCTCTCACCTTCAACCCTGATGATGCGCAATCCGGCCGGTCTTAGCTGTCAACGACCTTGCCTCTGAACTGAGTAGCAGGGAACCTGAAACGGAGGAGATGAGTAAGCTTCGGGGAGAACACGGTGTAAAGGCTCTGAAACTTAAGTTAGAATCCTTCAAAGGCAAGATAAAACCAGATAGCGCAAAGTTTGCATACCTCCGCTTTGGGGGGGTGGAGAGCCTTTTATAACCACCTCGCGCACTCACTCCTAGACTTCTGTCAGGTCGGGAATGATTATTTCCATGCTTCTACCAGTTCGGGCGTCATTGCCTCTGCTGGGGCAGAACCGTCACTGCTCTTTTTGTCGGAGCCGTCTCTGTAACTAGAGATGGCAGTGGCAGGTGACCGTTGAAGTGCAGCCGTCAAGCGTCAAATCCCAAGTCAGTCAGGTGCGCCGCCCTTGGATTCGGACTCCTTTGGTGTCAGGTACGGTGTGGTTCGTCCAGTTCAATGCTCTAGAGGCGAAGTGCCTGGAGGGGTACGTGAGGCGAAGTCTTGAGTTCGGATAGGGGGGTTGTCCCGAACTGTCATAAGATGGGCTAGTTCGGGTCTCTGCTTTGTGTGACTCGGGGCCAAAAGGGAGGGTTTGGGCTCCTCGTAGGGAGTTCGAGCTCTAAGTAGGGAGTTCGGGCCCCTTGTAGGGAGTTCGGGCTCTAAGTAGGGAGTTCGGGTCCCTTGTAGGGAGTTCGGGCTCCTCTTATGGAGTTTGTCTCCTCGAGGGGAGTTCGGTCTCCT